CCAGGGGGCCTGTCCTGAGCTGTGGGCCAGATGGCTGAGTTGGACTTGGGGAGGAATGGTGACTCAGAGTCTGGAAGCAACATGAGGGAGATGGTAGTCCATCATGGACAAAGGGGAGGGTACCAAGTTATCCAAGCTGAGCGGGGAGGCAAGATCTTGAACAGGAAGGGAAAAGTCTGAGGTGAAATGTCCAGTAGTCTGGAGAGGGGTTGGTGGGAGGAAGGCAAGAGGGGTTTGGAGGAAGGTGTAGTAATGGGGGCTGTGCTGGAGGCCTGTTTGTGAAGGACACTGCACTGAATGGAGTGTTCCTGACTTCAGAGTCACCTCTGAATCAATGTTTTCATCCCTGATTGCAGGACTTCAAATGTTTTAGACTGTGGAACTGCAGGATGCTATGTCACAGACACCTGTCAGGTAAGGAATATGTTGCCCTTCAGGTGGCAGTGATGGTGAATAAACCATAATAGGCCCATGGGTTGAATTTCTCATTCTTGCTCAGGCATTTATAACACCCGCAGAGTATGAGCCATGTCAATATGGGAGTGCATAGGGAGAGATCACAATCAGGAAGGTTGTCGTGGAGGAGCAACCCCCCTGTCTTTCAATGAGAGACATTGAAGCCCAACCCCCCTGTCTCTCAATGAGAGATGGAGTATTGAGGGCTGAACCTCTGACTGGTCCTGTGGTAGCGTTAGAGATCACGTTCGATCCTTTCTGTGGGGAAAGGACACCCTCCCTGTCTCCTACTCATCACTGCTAGTCAACAGCTGGTCATGGGAACTTACTCTTTAATATATTGCTTAATTTACCATTTACTAAATACTTTCTCCATTTGCAAATGTAAGTAATAGGCTTTGGATTCTGTGTCCAGAAATTGATAGGGCACTGTGTTCAGAAATTTTGTAGATTCCATGGATTTGACATTGTGGTTAAACAAATAGGTACTTGAGTCAGAAAACCCTGGGTTCAAATCCCAGATGTACGTTTATTAACTTGGGACATGGGACTGAGATCCTTAAACATCCTGAGCCTCAGTTTTTATCACCTGTGATGTGAAGATAGCCACCGTCTCACAGCCTGGTTATAGCACAGAAACCAGTGCATGGTGGCACTGAGTGAGTGGGGTCTCCCCATTCACCACTCCATGTCCACAAGTCTGTGTCAAAATGCTTTGACAACTGAAAGTTCTTTCTAATCTTGTGTATATGCTTGCCTTAGAAGATAAGAGAAGGAGTAGATGTTGTTGTTGGTGTTTAAAAGAGTTTTTCCCGATCACTGATCTGAACTTACCAGTGTGAGGCTCTTTGTAGCCTCTATCTGTTCTGTTAGGTGTGAATATTTATGTATTTTGCTGGAGAAATAGTATTGTACAGTATTTGGTCACAGGGTGCTACCTAGACCCTCTGGGAGTGGATTCTGAAACACACCTGGTCACAGCTTCCTTTTTCTGATAAGAAATTGGCAGGTCATGATTGCCTCATTGCTGTCTGTTAAAGCCCACAATGCACACGCATGAGTAATCATTAAAGAACATGTATTTCCATTTGTCAAACTTTTCTTCTCAGGACTTGGAATGAAAACTCGATAGAGGTACTCATTGATTTGTTTAGCTAAGATGTACTAAGGACGTACATTGTGTAAGACATGTTGCTGGGTATTGGGAGGACTATGAAGATGACAAGAGAGCCCTGCCACTGAGAAACAGGTGTTTGGAAGAAGGCCGGCACAAGAATAACTATAATGCAAGGGAGACAGGCTAACTTCCACAGGTGGGAATTCCAGGAAGAGTGAGTTCACATCTGAATGGGGGATGAAACTTCATAAAGGAGGGATATTTGAGACAGTCCCTGAAGGGGACTTCATTCTTTAACTCAAGGGGTTGGTAAGAATTTGTCAGGCAATGATGGCAGGACAGGGTATTCCAAGCATAGAGAACAATAAGGAAGAATTTGTGAAAGCAGGGTGGAATTAACATTTGGAGAATAGCCAGTGGTCCAGTCTGGTGGTAGTGTGAAGTGTGTGGCAAGAAAGAGGTAAGGGTGAGGTTGGAGGGGTAGGTGGGTAGAGCTGTGTAAGGCTAGGATAGCCAGGAGGAATATGTGCCTGACTTAGCAGATAAGAGAAGGAATAGATGTTGTTGTTGGTTTTAAAAAAGTTTCTTCTGATCACTGAAGTAATATGCATCTAAAGGAAAAGAATTTGGAAAACAAACAAGATGAAGATTGGTATAGATATAGATACACATTGAACTGTCTATAATCCACACCCAAGATCGCCCGTTAGTGATTTAAAATACATCCTTCTAGCCTTTTACTGTATGGATACAAGGTTGATGGCTAACTAGTTTGATTAATTGATCTTGAGAGTAATGTATAAATGAAATCACATTGCCTTAGATTTTTACAAAAAGAGCCTGTGGACATAATACCTTAGAAACATAAATATAACAGTAGTATGTGGGTAGGTCAGATACAGAGAAATCTATAAATGAGAAAGCCATGGGGCGCCTGGGTGGCTCACGTCAGTTAAGTGTCTGACTCTTGATTTTGACTCTGGTCATGATCTCACAGTTCATGAGAGTAAGCCCTGTGTTGGTCTCTGTGCTGACAGTGCAAAGCCTGCTTGGGATTCTCTCCCTCTCTGTCCGTCCCCCACTTGTGCATGCGGTCTCTCTTTCTCACAATACATAAATAAACAATAAAAAAAGGGGAAGCCATTAAGAATGCTGTTGCAGTGATTAAGAGGAAACAAGTTCTTGAACTTGGGGGCTGCAGGAAAAAGAAAGGGGGAGTGCAGATTAAAAAAATATTTCTAAGGATGGCAGTTCAAGTGGTTTAGAAGAAGGTAGGGAAAACCAGAGATCCCTTCCAGATGACAAGCCTGGATGACTGGGGGATTGCAGAATGATGAACATGATCTGGGCTTTGGGGAAGGGGAGGATTATGTGTGTATTTTTATACATAGTATGTTGTGGTGGTTAGCAGACAATCAGAGATGTGGGTCGAGAATAAGAATGCAGATTTGAGATTCATTTATATTTTCAAGATTGTTCTAGTTAAGGAAGAAGAGAGATTTCTGAAGGAGGAAATAGATTAGAGAAGAACACAAAGAGCAATGGCGTAATGTCTACATTTAGAAAGACCAGGAACCAGACAAGAAAAAGTCAGAATTGTTGGAGAACTTGGAGTGGGCAGTCCTTGTAGTCAAGGGTGGAAGTAGTTTCAAAAATGGGTTATTCATAGCCTGAAATGTCACAGAGACCACAAGGAAGATGAGATTGAGCACAAAAGATGAAAAGAAGTCAAATATAAGGTTCCTAGCACAGTTCCAAGCACATGGAAAGAACTCCACGCATAACAAGTATTATTACAAGGAAATGACCATTAAATATGGTAGTTTTTTTACATTGATAAATAATTTTATTTTATTTTTTATTTTTTGTTTTTTGGGTTTCTTTTATATGAAATTTATTGTCAATCTGGTTTCTATACAACACCCAGTGCTCATCCCAACAGGTGCCCCCCTCGGTGCCCATCACCCACTTTCCCCTCCCTCCCACCTCTCCATCAACCCTCAGGTTATTTTCAGTTTTTTTTTTTTTTAAATTTTTTTTTTTCAGCGTTTACTTATTTTTGGGACAGAGAGACACAGCATGAACGGGGGAGGGGCAGAGAGAGAGGGAGACACAGAATCGGAAACAGGCTCCAGGCTCTGAGCCATCAGCCCAGAGCCCAACGCGGGGCTCGAACTCACGGACCGCGAGATCGTGACCTGGCTGAAGTTGGACGCTTAACCGACTGCGCCACCCAGGCGCCCCTATTTTCAGTTTTTAAGAGTCTCTTATGGTTTGCCTCCTTCCCTCTCTGTAACTTTTTTCCCCGTTCTCCTCCCCCATGGTCTTCTGTTAAGTTTCTCAAGATCCACATAAGAGTGAAAACATATGGTATCTGTCTTTCTCTGTATGACTTATTTCACTTAGCATAACACTCTCCAGTTCCATCCACATTTCTACAAAAAGCTGTATTTCATTCTTTCTCATTGCCAAGTAGTATTCCATTGTATATATAAACCACAACTTCTTTATCCATTCATCAGTTCATAGACATTTAGGCTCTTTCCATAATTTGGCTATTGTTGAAAGTGCTGCCATAAACATTGGGGTACAAGTGCCCCTATGCATCAGCACTCCTGTATCCCTTGGGTAAATTCCTAGCAATGCTATTGGCTGGGTCATAGGGTAGATCTATTGTTAATTTTTTGAGGAACCTCCACACTGTTTTCCAGAGCAACTGCACCAGTTTGCATTCCCACCAGCAGTGCAAGAGGCTTCCCATTTCTCCACATCCTCTCTAGCATCTATAGGCTCCTGATTTGTTCATTTTAGCCACTCTGACTGGTGTGAGGTGATATCTCAGTGTGGTTTTGATTTGTATTTCCTTGATGAGGAGTGATGTTGAGCATCTTTTCATGTGCCTGTTGGCCATCTGGATGTCTTCTTTAGAGAAGTGTCTATTCATGTCTTCTGCCCATTTCTTCACTGGATTATTTGTTTTTTGGGTGTGGAGTTTGGTGAGTTCTTTATAGATTTTGGATATTGGCCCTTTGTCTGATATGTCATTTGCAAATATCTTTTCCCATTCCATTGGTTGCCTTTTAGTTTTGTTGATTGTTTCCTTTGCAGTGCAGAAGCTTTTTATCTTCATGAGGTCCCAATAGTTCATTTTAGCTTTTAATTCCCTTGCCTTTGGAGATGTGTCAAGTGAGGAATTGCTGCGGATGAGGTCAGAGAGGTTTTTTTCCTGCTTTCTCCTCCAGGGTTTTGATGGTTTCCTGTCTCACATTCAGGTCTTTCATCCATTTTGAGTTTATTTTTGTGTATGGTGTAAGAAAGTGGTCTAGTTTCATTCTTCTGCATGTTGCGGTTAAATATGGTAGTTAGGGAGTGTTTACAAGACCCACCAAAAGTCTTACACAGAGTTGGAGTTTAACAAATGTGTTGAATGGAATGATGACTGATGGAATACAATAGAGGAAGAGTGTAGGAGTTTGATAACACCTGTCCAACTCCTACTTAATAGAACTTGTTAAGAATACTACTTAATTAGAACTTGTTAGTTCTCACCCTTTGGGAATATATCTTCTGGACTCTGAGATTAACCATGCATGCTGGTTAGTATGCTTGAGGGGCCAGGTCAGCCATCAGGGAGCATAGTCAAGACAGGCATTGATGGCGACTTCCCACTAAGATTTCCTGGCTTCTCATAGGTAGTACAGAGAACTGGCATCAAGTGCGATGAGTAACTTCAGTGTGGTTAGGGGATTTGTACTGCTGGGATTGTCACACCTCCATGAGTTCCAGGTCCTACTGTTTGCATTCATCCTTTTGATATGTGTGCTGACAGTGCTGGAGAACCTGGCCATTATTACCCTCACATGCCTTGACTCCTGCCTCCACTCACCCATGTACTTCTTCCTCTGTAACTTCTCCCTCATGGAGATGCCAGTCACCTCCACTGTGGTTCCTAGGATGCTGGCAGACCTGCTGTCCCTCAGAAGACCATTTCCCTGGCTGAGTGCCTGATCCAGTCTCTCTTTTACTTCTCCTTGGGTTCTACCAACTTTGTGATTCTCACAGTCACGGCCTTTGATCACTATATGGCCATCTGCCACCCTCCGCACCACCCAACCATCATGAATGGTCCAGTGTGTACGAAGCTGGTGGCAGTCTGCTGGGTGGTTGGCTTTGTCTCTATCATCTCCCTGATCTTGCAGAAAACACGGCTCTGGTTCTGTGGCCCTAATGTCATCGACCACCACTTTTGTGACTCTTCCCCACTTCTCAAGCTTTCCTGCTCTGACGCCTGCCACGTTGAGTGCATGGATTTCTTCCTGTCCTTGCTCTTCATGCTGGCCACCATGCTGCTGATCATAGTGTCCTATATCCTCATTGTGGCTGCAGTGCTGCACATCCCCTCTTTCTCTGGGCACCAGAAAGCCTTCTCCACCTGTGTCTCCCACCTCACTGTGGTGGTTCTGGGCTATGGTAGTGACATCTTCATCTATGTGAGGCCAGGCAAGGGCCACTTCACACACTTCAACAAAGTGGTGGCTCTGATGACTGTAGTGGTGACCCCTTTCCTGAATCCCTTCATCTTCACCTTCTGGAATGAGAAGGTCAAGGAGGTCATTGGAGATATGACCAAAAGTCTCCTCCTCAGAGACCCAGCAGCCCGTGGATGAGAAGGCCAGACAACACCTGTCAAGTCACAGGAGTAAGGACCCTCCACTGCAGGTGGGCACCTGGGCACCCATGCTGGAGCTCCTCAGTCTCCTGCTTAGTCTCTCCTTCTCCCTTTATCCCCCGCTCACTCACTACTGAGAACTAATGAGCCTACATCATCTGAATGATTCCAAGGCAAGTATATGTGAGCCTGAGATAAACAAGGAGGAGATGATTTTGAGGAAGCTGTGGAGTGAAAACAGTATGATAATATCAACTGAAAGAGAGTATCCAAATAAAACCCTCAGTCCTGGGTCTGGTACATAGTAAAAACTCTGTAGACGTGGCTACTATTATAAAAATGTGCTATTAAAATCTCTCCTTCCCAGTCTGGCTGTATGGTTTTGTTTACATTCCTTTACATTTCTTTGTCTGCAAATTCTTTGAGGGTGTATTTCTTTCTCATGAACTGGCTTAAGAGTGTAGGATAGGGTTCTGAAAACAGGAGTTTCTCTGAGAAGAGCAGAGTGGCCTGGCATCCCCCAAAGAGAAGAAACTCCATGCCTCTCGTTAGGACCATTTCTTTGGGGATTATTCCTGAAGCAGAAGCACTACTTATACCCAGGAGGCCCACTTCTGTCCAGCCCCTCAAAATCCCTTGTTTTTAAACAGAAATGACTCTCTAGGGGCCACTTTCTCAGCACCTTCCACAGAGAGGTCCCGAGGGCTCCAGTCTAGACTTTATCCTTTTTATGCACTCAAGAAAGAAAGGGAAGCTGGACCATTGCTCCCACGCTGGCTGCTTTCTCCTTCACATGCATTAGCAACTGTCTTCTCCCACAGAATCTTAGGTCCATGTCCCAGAGCAAGGGCCCTCTGTGTTTGGCTTTCCCGGAAGCAGCCCGGACAGGAGGTCACCAGGGCCCTGGTGGTAAAGCAAAGATAGTGCAAGCCAGTTGAGAGGGAAGAAATGGGGTGGTATTGGGGTTATGAATAACAGGGGGGTAGAGCAAGGGGGGGAAGGCTTTCCCTGGCAGTTTGGGAATGGTTTAGGAAGTCGGGGGAGATGTGGGAGTGGGAGTAGTTCTAGTGTCTGATTTCTTGTACCAGGGTGAATTTGGACTTGGGCTGGGATTTGCAGAACAGGACAAAGAGTAGATGGAAACTTCTTCCTACTTCTGAAGCTAGGTCTGCCCGATGAGGGAGCATAATGCAGGCTGCAGGCAAAGTACAAGCTAGAGTGCGCGTATGCGCACGGGCATGTGCACACGCGTGCGCGCGCGCGCGCACACACACACACACACACACACACACACACACACCAGGTGTAGGTGGGATATGTGTGATATTCCTCAGGCACTTCTGGCTGCCTAAGATCAAAAGAAAGGAAAGAAAACATATGGTTAACTGGTAGAGATCACAGTCATACAGGACATGGGTCTCCATCTGTTTACAAATATCTTATTAAATGACAAGAAAAAGGCAATCTTATCAATAGCCTAATCTGCAGAAACCTGTGGACTCAGTTTCCTGGAGCCCCAACGTCACCCCTCCATAGTGATATGGGGAACAAAGGCAAGAAGGAAGAAGTAGATTTTCTTATAACCTACAGCCCATTGACAAATACTTGAGGCAGGCAGAGGAAAACATTCTTCCAGGAACTCCCACTGTCTTAATGTTAATGCTTTGCTAGAGGGAAAAACAATTTTAGCTTGACCATAGCTTGGCCTCCAGCATCCTGCATATTCTTTAACATATGCAAATCTCCTTGGAAACTTCCCATTTGCCTTTACCTCCCCAAATCCATAGTATGTAACCAGTCACTCTTCACGACCCCAGTGCAGCTCTTCCTGCCCACGGGTCCTGTCTCCATGCTTTAATAAAATCACCTTTTTGCACCAAAGACATCTCAAGAATTCTTTCTTGGCCATCAACTCCGAACCCCACCACCACCCCAAAACCTCATCATGCCCACAGGATACCTATAGGAGAGGTCATGGTCCTAATGTGTAGCATAGATAGGCCCACAGAGAGGCCATCCTGTAGAGCCACAGCTGTGAAGAAAGGGGTGGCAGAGAGGAACACGTCTGGGGGCCCCACCCAGAGGCATGAGTTTCTGGTTATTACTGGGGAGCTTGACATCCAATTAAGCTCTTTTTTTTAACTACCATAGGAAAAATTACTGTTTGTGGGTCTCTCCAAAAGGGGGCAGATACTTTTGATTCTGTGGTAAAGGGCAGCAGGGAAAACAGTTTTTCATCTTTAGAACTTTCTCTCCTCCACCTCTCAAGGGACTAATTGCTTACTCTCCTTGCAAACTTCATGAAAAAACTTAAGAACTAAATGGGAAGCAATTATCTCCTTCTGATATGCAAATACTTTCCTTCAGCTTTTCCTCCTAAAGTAATCAGCACACAAATCCGCTCAGATTTGCCTCCTGAGAGATTCCTTCCTGCTGCTACTCTCTCATTTCTGCACATTCCCTTAAAAAATTAAAAATAATCAACAGTCTACAGCCATCTATTGCCTCTTTTTCATGGTGTGATCTTAGCAGTGAGATATCAGATTGGTCAGATTGGGAGGGTATATCTTGCCTTGGGGCTCCACAGTAATCACCCCCTCATACAGCATCACACAGTCATGATGATGAGGGAGCTTGGGGCAAGCTGAGGGCAAAATACAGGCTGGCACCCTGCCCTCCACCCCCTCAGGTAGAATATTTGTGATATTCCTCAGACACTCCTGGCTACCCAAGAACAAAGGAACAAAGGAAAGGGGTTTAAATGCTTGCTGTGGTAATGTGGGAAACTAAGACAAATGAAAAATTAAATTCCCTTACTGCCTATAGCCCATTGACAAGTCCTTGAAACCGGCAGAGTGACCTCCCTGTAGGAGCTCAGCTGCCTCAAGGATGACAGTTTGCTGGGGGGAAAAGGGAACCTTAGCTTAACATTATCCCAACATCGAGGATCCTGTAAGTCAGTTTCCTTTATCTCAACTGTCCCAAGATATATGCTGGCAATCACACTCCAAGCTTATGGCCCCCTGATATATATCTGAAGGGTCTCATGACCGAGGTTGTATTAAATGGTAATAAATGGCATTTCCCTAGCAACAGCTAGCCTCTCAAGGTCCTGGAGACCTTGCTTCCAAAATTCCTTAGAGACATACTCTATCCCTGACCCCCTCCCAACCTGAGGGTATATAATGAGTTACCCATCATGACCCCAGTGCAGTTCTTCCTGCCCATGGGTCCTGTCCCCATGCTTTAATAAAATCACCTTTTTGCACCAAAGACGTCTCCAAGAATTCTTTCTTGGCCTTTGACTCTGGACCCTATGAAACCCCCATCACCCCAAAACTTCATCAATGACATTCCCAACAAAATTACCTGTGTGATGCTTGGAACAGCACTGTCCTCTCCCTTAATACAGAATGCTGAACCTCGGGCCCCACCCTAGACCTGCTGAAACAGAATCTGCATTTTTTAAAAGTTTATTTATTTATTTATTTGGGGGGGGAGGGGTAGAGAGAGGGAGAGAGAATCTCAAGCAGGTTCTGCACTGTCAGCACAGAGCCTGATGTGGAGCTTAAACTCACGAGTTGTGAGATCATGACCTGAGCTGAGAGTCAGACCTGACCAAGAGTCAGATGCTCAACTGACTAAGCCACCCAGGCACCCCGCAGATCTGCATTTTAACAGACCCCCTGGATGATTTATATGCACCCTAATATTTGAGGAGCACTGATCTAGACAATCTGCTGGTGGAAGTTTCAATCAGGAAATTGTGTACGAAAGTCCTTGTCTTGGTGGCAATACTGTGAAAGGCACTGGAAGGGGGCATGTGCTTGCGATTACCGGAGCTACCCTCCCTTCAGGACTTTTATCCCAGGGCCTATTTCTGGAGATGGTAACCAGGATTTAAGCCCTGAGACTTTTATTCTGGTCTGACTTTAAACTACTTCTCCTTTTCTTCTTCCTCTTCATCCTCCTCCTCCACTTCCTCCTCCTCCTCTTTCTCCTTCTTCTTTGAAAGAGCTCGAGCTCGAACTCATGTGAGTGAGGGAGGGGCAGAAGGAGAGGGAGAGAGAGAATCCCAAGCAGGCCCCGTGCTGTCAGTGCAGAGCCTGAGGCATGGCTCAATGTCATGAACTGAACTGTGTGATCATGACCTGAGCCGAAATCAAGAGAAGGATGCTTAACCAACTGAGCCACCCAAGTGCCCCATGACTTTAAATTTCTTGAGAGACTTAGGTCAATGGTCCAGCCTGTGATTTGCTGTTAGAATTCTGTGTGGCCTTGACCTAGAGATGTTTTGGTTCCATACATTTGTCTTAATGTGACAGGGACTCTCAGTGTGCACAATATCAGATAAGACATAAGCCTGGATAGACTTAAGCCAAGAAATACTGATAACAGACTTTTTCCATCTTGCTGGAAGGAATCTAAGGACACCAGTTCTAAGGCAAAGTGGGTGTATGCAAGTCTCCCCAGGTTTAGAGTCACGATGTGACTAAATCATTGCCTCTTGGAATTGCAAGGCAGTGTGTGGGCCGTCCAGGCACACCTCCTCTCACTGCAGGCCTCCCCGCTGTGGGACACTTCTCAGGTCAGCAAGGAGACCTGCTGGAGCCAAGTCTAGGCATGGCGCACTCCCAGCTGCGAGGCAGCCCCTGTATTTGCTATAGCGGTCTCAGTTTTAAGATGAGACCTTATGTCCAGCCATTGAACTATTTCTAGATCTCTCACCCACTGTCCACATTGCTTCCTCTGGTCCCTGTTGTTAAGTGGGTCTTGGAACTGGTTGTGGCACTAGGATAGACAACTAACTGGATAGAGTGCAGTGGGATAAGTTCTTCTTATGCGTTGTTTGCTTCTTTTTTTTTAATTATTATACGAAATTTATTGTCAAATTAGTTTCCATACAACACCCAGTGCTCATCCCAAAAGATGCCCTCTTCAATGCCCATCACCTACCCTCCTCTCCCTCCCACCCCCCATCAACCCTCAGTTTGTTCTCAGTTTTTAAGAGTCTCTTATGCTTTGGCTCTCTCCCACTCTAACCTCTTTTTTTTTCCCTTCCCCTCCCCAATGGGTTTCTGTTAAGTTTCTCAGGATCCACATAAGAGTGAAAACATATGGTATCTGTCTTTCTTTGTATGGCTTATTTCACTTAGCATAACACTCTCCAGTTCCATCCATGTTGCTACAAAGGGCCATATTTCATTCTTTCTCATATACATTGTTTACTTCTATTACTGTCATTGAGGATGGGTTTCTGTGTTTTAGGTTACAGTGTCTACTCATATTCCAAATTCATCTGCAAACCTTGTTCCTAAAGACAGCTAGCATTTATTGAACATCTGTGTCCTAGGCATAGGAGATACAAAGGCATGTAAGAAATGGTACCTAACTTGAGGAGCTCAGAATTT